TCTCTCTCTCACACACACACACATCTATAACTCTCTCTCTCTCTCTCTCTCTCTCTCTCTCTTTCTCTCTCTCTCTCTCTCACACACACACACACACTGATACAATTTTTTCTGCTTTTGCTGGAAATCCATTATTGATATAATATGCTTTTTTGTTCCTTGAATGTGACAATTTGACAGTTTTTTGCAATTTTGGTATGCTTGGTACTTTTTTCTGTAAGCATAAGATCAGGGGAGAACTGAAGCCCACTACATCTTACTCCTTTTCTCTTAAGGGCTAGCAAACCAACTTTAAGATGGCCCCACGGTCATTGACTCCTGCAGTCCTTGCCCTTACATAACTCTCTCCTCCTGAGAATGGCCATAACCTACACACATGAAGGAATATGCATCACTATTTGAGAATAAAAATATGATATAAAATTGGAGTACCAGTCTTACTGAGAGAAGTCTTTCCTTGCTGGTTTTCAGGAAGCAAATGGCCATGTTTGGAAGACCCACCGACCAATGAGTAAAGGACAACCTCTGGCTGGTAGCCAAAATAACTCGTGTCTTCCAGCCCCTACTCTGCAAAGAACTGAATCCTGCTGACAACCACATAAGCACAGAAGTAGAAGCTCTCCCGGTCAAGCTCAAGATGAAGCAACGATTCCCATACATTTTGATGGCACCCTTTCAGAATTAGATCCATACTGTTTAGGCTACTTCTCATTCTCCTTAAGGCTTTAGCAACTCAATGTGCTTCTTTAAGTTATTGTTGCCATTTTCCTGAGAGCTCTTACTTGATGTTTACCATGCTGATGTGCTAAATGGGAAAAATTAAACTAAGTCTTAGGTCATCAAAGTCCTAACCAAAGGTCCTTTTTGTTCTGCTTTACAATATTTCTCTGGTCTTACAAAAACCGGCATACAAACTTATTAGGAGAGTTTATCCAGTCTTGGGGGCATTTGAGCATGTGAATGTGGATGTGAGCGTGTATACATCTGTCTTCTGTACTCTGTGAGACTCTGACCATACATACCTGCCCTTCTATATCCCTCTGTCCTATTCGGAGCAATGTGGCAGTAACAAGCATCAAAAGTAATAATTTCATATGAGGAAATAGGGGGTTATTAAGCTATTAGCACTCAATAAAATTTGCCCTCTCAGCCTCCAGCTTCCTGACTGACGTTGATTCAATTGGAAAACTGCAGTGATGTGACCATATCTCCTCCATTTAAAATAATTAGAATTAGTGAGGGAATGTCTTATTGCCATTTCTATGGCTAGCTCTTATAATTATCATAAACCTCTGGGAATGGGTAGAGAGGAAACCCAGGTTGACCTCTATGGGCTGGGGGAGAGCTGCAACCAACCACAGGAGCACAGAATATTCTTTTCAGTAAGTTTTCCTCCTTTATTTTCTCATAAATTGTGTTCTTATTCATTGGCTTGGCATTGATCGCTAATTACATTGTTGGGAAAATGTGAGGCTCGGAAGCTAGAAGCCTGACCAGAAGCAACTCAGCCTCGGAGGACAGCCTGAGAGCTGAGTGTGATATCCTTGCCTCTGAAATGTCAGTTCTACCGGGTGCAGCACACAGCAGCAGTAGATTTCAACAAGGTTCCAGAGGGGGACCCACCCTCGATGTTCACCTGTGGCCCATCTGTGGCAGAAGATCCTAAGGAAAAAAGTATCTAGTATAAGATCATCATTCTCAAATTAGATGGAAAGAAACTAATATCCAAAGATAAACTGTGATAGTATATGAAAGCAAAATGTGGGCATGGATAGTTTAGCAAATACTGATCAAAACTGAAATAAGTACATGAAACACAACCAGGCTCCTGTCAACATTAGGCCAGGCGATTTCAGGGCATTGCTGGAGTGTGGAGCGAAGAAAAACAGCATATTGACTATGGTGACCTTTGTGTTCTGTGTCTAAATGTAGAGATTATGCATAGTTTCTAGACTTCTTTTTTATGTTTACTTTAAGACTTTTAAAATTAGTAGGTGGTTCTAGAATAATATTAAAGTTATTAAAAAATTAACTTTAAAACAATATGTAGAGAAGATTCCCATTTTCTTTGTCTGTTTATATATGATATGTAACATATCATAGTATACATATTTTTTGTTATATACATTATATACTATCAACTCAATTGTGACTAATATCTTTAAGTAGTAATATTATGATTATTTTTATTCTAGTTATTTTAAAATTTTATGATGAAAACAGTTGCATTTTGTTTGTTTGTTTGTTGAGAAAGGGTTTCTCTGTAGCTTTGGAATCTGTCCTGGAACTAGCTCTTGTAAGCCAGACTGGCCTCAAACTCACAGAAAAACATCCGCCTCTACCTCCTGAGTGCTGGGATTAAAGGTATGGGCCACCATTGCCCAGCATAATAATTGCATTTTAACATTGGCACAAGAGACCACTTCCTAAATATAACCCCAGTAGCACAGACAATGAGAGAAGCAATTAATAAATGGGACCTCCTGAAACTGAAAAGCTTCTGTAAATCAAAGGATATGGTCAATAAGACAAATCGACAGCCTACAGAGAATAGGAAAAGATCTTCACTAACCTCACATCAGACAGAGGTCTGATCTTCAAAATATACAAAGAACTTAAGAAAGTGGTCATCAAAAGAACAAATAATCCAATAAAAATAAAATGTGGAGTACAGACGTAAACAGACAACTCTCAACAGAGGAATCTAAAATGTCTGAGAGACACTTAAGGAAATGCTCAACATCCTTAGTCATCAGAGAAATTCAAATCATAACTCTGAGATTCCATCTTACACCTGTAAGAATGGCCAAGATCAAAAACACTGATGACCACTTATGCTGGAGAGGCTGTGGGGTAAAGGAAACATTCCTGCATTGCTGTTGGGAGTGCAAGCTGGTACAGCCCCTTTGGATATCAGTATGGAGATTTCTCAGAAAACTAGGAAACAACCTCTCTCAAGACTCAGCAATATCACTATTGGGTATATATCCAAAGGATGTTCAATCATGTAACAAGGACATGTGCTCAACTATGTTTATAGCAGCATTGTTTCTCTTAGCCAGAATATGGAAACAACCTAAATGCCCCTTGATAAAGGAATGGATAAGGAATATATGGAGTACTACACAGCAAAAAAAAAAAAAAAATCCTGACATCTTGAAATTTGCAGGCAAATGGATGGAGCAAGAAAGCATCATATTGAGGGAGATAACTCAAACCCAGAAAGAGAATTATCACATGTACTCACTTATAAGTGTTTTTTTTTTTTAACACAAAGCAAAGAAAACGAGCCTACAAATTACAATCCCAGAGAACATAGACAACAATGAGGACCCCAAGAGAGACATACAGAGATCTAATCCACATGCATGGGAAGTAGAAAAGGACAAGGTCTCCTGAGTAAATGTGGACAATGGGAGAGGGTAGAAGGGGAGGGGAAAGGCAGAGAGGGGAGTAGAGAAAAATGTAGATCTCAATAAAATCAGTTAAAAAAAAAATTGTGTTTTAAGTGTTTGCACTAGGAGTCACAGTCTAACCTTTTGTCCCTTAACATTCTTCCTCTTAAAAGTCACATTATTAGTTTTAATGCCCTTCCAGGGGCATTGGGATATGCTATCACTGAAGACTAAATCATGTCTTTGAGCCTTCCAGCATAGTCTGAGAACTTTGGCATAAAAGCCAACTTTGGCTGAGGAAAGCATGGGTTGAAACTTCGGGTTCTGGAGACCATCATGGGCATTCTTCTTTTAAAACATTTCTGGAAAAGGGAGCAAAGTATCCTCTTAGAGTCTAGCAAAGGGGATAAGAACATAGGTACTGCTTTGAACATCTAGTTCCAGCCTTTACTAAATGCTAATCTCCAATGACTGACAAAACCTCTTTGTACTGTTTCTTTCTTTCCTGGGAGATGGGGAAATTATAGCCCTTGACTCAGGCTGTTGTGAGGGAAATCTAGTTACTTAATATATGAGACACTTAAAGGAGTATTTGGTGTGCATTACGCACAATATTAATGATATTTTTAGCGAAGAGCTCGAATGCTTTTCAGCAGCTTGTGTTTTGGAACTCCATTCTAAACCTTTCCGAGGAGAGCAGTGAAAACCACAGAAAATAGAGAATCTAGCTTCTGCCACAATAGCTCGCATTTTGTGCTTCTCTGTCCTGGGATATAAAATAAGATTATGATATTTGCTCAGAGAAAAATGTATATAGGAAACGAACGTGAAAGTTTCTAGATTTTGTACAAAGCCACACTACAATGTACACACGAGGGTATCAGATTGTGTTCTAAGGGATATGAGATGGGGGGCGCCGAGGTTTGGCTATCGAACAAAGCATCACACCGTGAAAGTGCAGAAGGAAGAACGAGAGTCACATACGCAGGAGTGGGTCCCTCTGTGAGTGCAATTCACCAACAGTTGTGCTCATAACACATAAAGACATTCCCTGAGACCCTGGTGTGTGCTAGCCTCTAAAGCCTTACATTTCTTAAACCGCACACACCTGCCAGTTGGGGCAGGCTCATTTTCCCTGTCAGCAAACGGGAGTGAAAGCTTTGTTGATGGCCATCCTGGCAGCTAAAAAATGGATCTTACCATCCATTTATTCTGGAAGCAAGAAGCCCTTTGCCTCTGGGAGCGATTATAAGATGGAGTCATTTTACTCCTGACACCTTCAGACTCCTTACGTCTTGTGGGACGACTCGAGAGCCACACGTGGTGCCTTTGGCAAGAAAACATTTTCCACAAGCTACTGGCTAACACCTCACAGAGGAATTTTATTTAAGGTCCCTGTGGGACTAGAAACGCAAACCCAATAAATTGACACTTTTCTAGAGAAGAGCGCATATCTCAAGGCTGAAGCTGGCAGACTCCCTTTCCTGCCTGTTATAAATCAGCACCACTTTAAATGGATGATTGAATTCTGAAGATAATGCATGGTAAGTTTGACATTTTTCTACCCTTTCAATTTCTGAAAGAGATATGTAAACTAATTCATCTTTCGCCTTTCTTAGATGGCACACCATTCTCTAATCTATTAGAAAAACCAAGTGGGCTGCCCTTCTAGGATAATTTTTAAGAGTCATCTCTGCCTAACATTTAAGGAATGTTCTTTGAAGAATGACTGGGCTTGCTACAGAAGAGCAGAGGTCCCTTCCCTCGGACGTATGTCTAAGGAGCTGTAGACGCTGCACTGGGGGGACCAGAGAGCTCTGGAAAGTTCTGACATGCAGCCACAGGAGACACTGGTGCTTTGGGGAGAACCTTATGTTTGCCTTATGGTAAAGTCTCCCATTCTTGGAAGAAAGCCAGACCTTTCCACTGGCTTCCTCTTCCCCTAGTTTGCGACTCTGTGAAAGCAAGTTTGCCAGAGTTCGGCTAGAGAGAAGAGGGTCGGTGAAGCACTCAGGAAAACCGCGAGGGCTGCCGTGTATGACGTCATACAGAGGTGGCCGGCAAGCACGCTGCTGTTTACGTTTGCTTTATACCATGTAGAAGTTGCGTCTTTGGAATTTATTTTCCTAAAAGAAATTGAGTTAACTTCCGTGGTGTAACATTGTTCAAGTATAACTGAAGGGGCTTATTGAGAGACAGCTCTTGATGTATCTCTTGTCTCTCCACACTGTCTTATTTCCAAAGTAACTTATCTCCCTATCCTCTAGGAAAGATAATACCAGAACCTAAAGGCAAAGTGAAGGACTTTGAAGCTTTCAATGGCCTGTAGGCAGCATGAAGGTCCCTCAATAAAATTTCAGGTGTGGGTGGCACATACCTTTAATCCCAGCACTCAGGAGGCAAAGGCAGGTAAATCTCTGTAAAGCTGAGGCCAGCTTGTCTACATAGTGAGTCTCAGGCCAGTCAGAGCTACATAGTGAGACCCTGTCTCAAAACAAAAACAAAACTTCCTTAAACTTATTAAAGGTGGCAATATCCTTTATATATAAACAAAACATTATACACATTTTAGAAGATTGTTGAAAATTATATCTACCCATAGATACCCAGAAAAAATAATTTAAGGCAAAATAGTACATTTGATTGCTTGAAAGAAGAAGACCCCCAAAGGTCCTGCCATTGTGAGGAGGTGTGTGTGGCCTTGTTGGAGGAAATGTGTCACTGTGTCTCCTTTCCTCAAGCTTGGCTCAGTGTAACACGCAGACCACCTCTTGTTTCATGTAAGATGTAAGACTCTCAGCTACGTCTCCAGCACTATGTCTGCCTGAACGCTGTTGTGTCTCCCCATGATGATAATGAACTGAAACCATAAACTGTAAGTGTGTCGACCCAAATAAATGTTTTCCTGTTTAAGAGTTGCCGTGGTTGTGGCATTTCTTCACAGCAATAGAAACCCTAACTAAGATGGTACATTTTAGTTTATCTTGGATGAACACAATCTTTTCATTTATCTGTTTTAACTTATAATGTGACCATAAGAAGTTGCCTTTTCAATACTTCATTTTTCTTATCTGTGAAATGGGGCTGGTAAATATACCCATTTCTTGCATGTGTTGTGAGGATTCAGGGATGGAGAAACATTTAGGGCTAACCTAGAAAGGAGATGGCTTTCCACTGAAATTATTATCATGGCAAGAACAATTTCCAACCAAATGACAATGGGATTCAACAAAACTGGGAGTTATCTGGTTGGCGTCTTCCACTATTTTACTATAGTCCTGGAGGTAAGGCAAAAGGGATTCAAAGAGAAAAGTTGGTCAGGCCTTTAGAGAAGTGCTGAATGATGGAGCTGATGTGGCTGGAACAGCGTTCCATGAGCAGAAGAAAACAATGAGAAGGATTTTGCTGTGTTCTAGTAAAAGTTCTCTGGCTTCCCATAGTGAGTCCATAAAATCTAGCACACTGCTTTGAGGCAGGACCAAGGCCCTCCCCCCTATATCTAGGCTGAGCAAGGTATCCCTCCAAAGAGAATAGGCTGCAAAAGCCAGTTCAAGCAGTAGGGATAAATTCTGGTCCCACTGCCAGTGGCCCCACAGGCTGCCCCAGTCATACAACTGTCACCCACATTCAGAGGGCCTAGTTTGGTCCTCTGCTGGTTCCCTGCTGTCCATTCAGAATCAATGAGCTCCCCCTAGCTCAGGTCAGCTGTTTCAGAGGGTGTCCCCAACATGGTCTTCACCCCTTTGCTCGTGTTATTGTTCCTCCCTCTCTTAGACTGAGGAATGGATAGGGGCTGGAGTGAGGGGAAGGGGGAGGGAGCAGGAAAAGAGGAAGGAGTGGGAACTGGGATTGGTATATAAAGTGAGAAAAGATTGTTTTGTAAAAAATAAATAAATTTAATTTTAGAAAAAGTTATCAGGCTAGTTGATAGTCCTAGACATAGATCAGCATTGTCCCCTGTAAGGCCACTAGGCCACAGGCAACACAGGAGACTGGTATGGTTGGGAGAGACAACAAAGGGGCTGATGAGGGGCTGATGATTATGACAAATCATCTCCAAAGCCATCTCAAACATTATCTATCTCCTCACCGAGGGTCAGAGTGACCTGGGGAGAGGAAAATATTCAAGTCAAGTCTAGTTGTAGCCTGGTGACCCTCTCTGCTAGCATCATCACGCTTCCATACTGTGGTCTACTGTCAACCCCCAGAAACAGCGGGAGCAATAACCTAGCCTCTTATTCCCAAATGCAAAGTTGACTGAATACCTGAAGAGCATCAGTTCCATACATAAGGACAGCAACACAGACTACCAATGCTAAGTGATCATTCTAGAAAAAGAAACTCTACATAAACAAAAAATTCTCTAAGTTTAAAGATAAAATAGTTGAAATAGGATTCGGGAGGAAACATTTATAAATATGAACCCATAGACAAACTTGTCTCAAATACTCATCCTTTGAAATAAATTATAAGTGCATTGAATAAGTAAATATATAGATTCTAGAGAGGGAAACAAGGCTGCACTGGAAATAGGTTAGTGGAACCCTCAATGTATATTTGGAAAGAAGAGGTTTGGAGTAACATCAGTCTATAAATATTTTTAAAAGAAGTCATACTTGAAAAAAAACTCATATACAAAAAGAAAAGACTCAGAAACATATCCAAAAAATATTATTTTACAACTGAAAAATATTATTTTTGTCTTATAATGTGCTGCTTAACCCTTTTACATTCAAATATATGTAAATTTATCCAAATGTAATGACTTTCCACTTTCTTTAGTGGTCTTTATATTACTTAAGTGCAAGGAAGAGAAGTAATCAATAGTTCCACCCACCTGTAAAGCCTGCGACTTGCAAGAATGAATAGCCTGGCAAGATGTCTTGAAGGGAACAATGGTGACACTTTTTCCTTGGAAATAAACAAAAGTTCTTGAATTGGATCAAAATCAGGCTCAACAAGAGGAAAGTCCTGCCTGGCACTGTAAACCTAGCCAACCACTTATGGCTAGTGAGGTTATAGGTCCCTGAGGAAACCTACTATAGACACTTTCCTAAAGCAGTGTAATTCCCAACTGCATTCTAAAGCATTACCTTTAGTCCTACAGATGCTGTAGCTTTCATCCCTCATTACCTTTTGACAGATGGAGACTTAACAGAGATCCAAATCTGAGCAAAATGAAAATGCAGGCAAAAAATGACTTTAGGTTGCTCAGCCCCAGTTGATGTATCTACAGTACAATTCCTAAGGCTCAGGGAACATCCTGGAAGGGGGATAGAAAGAATCTAAAAGTCAGAGATTCACAATATTTGTTACTCAGTGGTGTCTTCTAGACATGAGAGAAAAGTTACATCCATGAAATCTCAATGATGTAACTGCCTAAACAAGAACTGACCAATGACAACACCAGTTGACATGCCTAAGTAAGAAGGGGGAATTTCACAAAGTCCCACCCCGGATTAAGAGCTGGAGGCAACCAATAGCCAATGAGAGAGGGGGAATCAGTTTTCTCTAGAGATGAGCTCTCTGATAGGTGATCCAACCTCAAGTAGTCTAAATAGATTCAGATTATAACACATCTGGTTATAACACACACGTGCATACACACACACATACATCATAAAGCAAGGTCATATATACCAAGGATGTATGTCTTTTGTGCCGAGCACTGAAGTTTTGTAGTCTGTGTGATCTAAGCCCTTTTAAAGTATATGATTCCCCACAGCTTTTCCAAATACCCCTTAGTATCAGTATGGTGTGTGTGTGTGTGTGTGTGTGTGTGTGTGTGTGTGTGTGTGTGTGT